CCAGGAGCCACGTAGCCAGCCAGAAGGCCAAGAGGGTACACGAGGTCAGGACGAGTGCAAGTCATCAGGTAGATGAGGCAGCCAAGTAGCTCTGGGTAAGGACCACTCGGCTCTACGGACTCGTCCGAAGGTGGAGCTGAGAGCGAGTGACCTGTAGCCAGAGGAGTGGCCTGTGCCGAGGACCAGGTGAAGCCGAAGCGCTTAAGGACCTGCTGCACCATGTGTGACTGAGTTAGTGTCATGGTGCGGCGTGCTCTATCCCGGGTGATCTGCAAGCCAAGGTAGCAGCGCAGTTCACCCAGGTCTGTGCACGTGTGTCTCTTCTGCAGCTCCAACATCACGTGGGGGAGAGCCTCAGTGTCAGCAGTGGCAAAGACCAAGTCGTCGACGTACACGAGGATGTAGAACGGCGGCAGCGAAGTGTCGGTGCGCAGAAACAGCGACGCGCCGAAAAAACGTGGCCAGGTGCCGGCTCGTGCACCTACGTCCTTCGCTCCGGCGACCGCGCTGGTGAGTAGTGTGGGGGTGCCCACCCCACCCAGCGCTGCTTTGGCCGCCTGACGGACGCTTGGCGTCAGCAGTTCCCGGAGGCTAGTGAGATCCCCCGCTGGGGAGAGCTGTTTAGAGCAGATGTTGCTATCTATGATCTTGACTTTGATGCTATCCTTGCTGCCATGTATGCTGTGACTATTAGTGATGAGGGTGACTGTTACCGGTGTTTCCCGCCCGACCCGGGCATTGGTACTGCTGCGCTAGGTGCTAGTGAGGCTGCTGCTCTAGGTGCCAGCGCGTCTGCGCCCTCAGGTACTGGTGAGGCTGCGCTCTCAGGTACCGCGTCGGCTTCGGCCTCCCTCACCTTCACACTTGACTCAAGGGCTTCGCGCTCCTTCTTTCGAGACCGCACCACACTCACGCCGCTTAGTCGGCCGGTTGCAGTCTCCCTGGCTGACCCCTCTGGGGGTCCTGTCCTCTCTCACTTCTCCACTGTCCTCCCGTGTCCGGCTGCCCCCTCTGGCACCTTGTCTGGTCTTTACCTCCCCTCTTTCTCGACGAACTTGGTGAGTGGTGCTGACCTGCAGGATGCGGGGGTTCACCAGTTTACTCCTGCGAGTCAGCGGGTGACCCACTGCTCGGACGCACGCACGGGCCGGCACCTGGCCACGTTTACGCGTCGGCCGGGGTCGAGCCTCTACACCCTGACCAATGGGTCCCCTCCTGTCCCTGCGTCTGGCCAGGTAGCTGCGTCGGGTCAGGTGTTTGCTGCAGCGTCCAGGTCTGGTCCTGAGTCTGCCCCCTGCTCGTGTCGCCTCCTGTCTCACAAGACTCTCCTGTGGCACCACCGTCTTGGTCACCCCTCCCTGCCTCGTCTCCGAGGCATGGCTTCCCGTGTCCTTGTCTCTGGTCTTCCCCGGTCCCTCCCTCCCCTTCCTCCGGGGCCTGGTCCTTTCTGTGTCCCCTGTGTCGAGGGGCGGCTCCGGGCTGCCCCTCACTCCTCTCAGTTTCCCCCGATAGAGGCCCCGCTGCAGACGCTTCACATGGACGTGTGGGGCCCGGCCCGCGTCCGTGGACAGGGTCACGAGCGCTACTTCCTGCTGGTGGTTGACGACTACTCGCGTTACACCACAGTCTTCCCCTTGCGCAGCAAGGGTGATGTCACTGAGGTGTTGATCGCCTAGATCCGCGCAGCTCGTCTCCAGCTCAGGAGGAGCTTCGGCTCGGACTTTCCTGTTCTGCATCTGCCCTCTGACCGAGGCGGAGAGTTCTCCTCTGTCCTTCTGCGAGCCTATTGTCGTGCGCGAGGCATCCGCCAGACCTTTACGCTTCCGGACTCTCCACAGCAAAATGGGATTGCTGAGCGCCGCATTGGCATGGTCATGGACGTCGCTCGTACGTCCATGATGCATGCGGCTGCCCCCCATTTTCTGTGGCCGTTTGCGGTTCGGTACGCGGCGCATCAGATCAACCTTCACCCCAGGGTCTCCAGGCCGGAGACCTCCCCAGCCTTGCTGTGGACGGGGAAGGTCGGCGATGCGTCTGCGTTCCGTGTCTGGGGATCTCGGGCGTTTGTCCGCGACTTGTCTGCGGACAAGCTGTCCCCTCGTGCTGCTCCCTGTGTCTTCGTTGGCTTCCCCCCTGACGCCCCTAGGTGGCAGTTCTACCACCCCACCTCTCGTCGTGTTCAATCCTCCCAGGATGTCACGTTCGACGAGTCAGTCCCCTACTACCGCCTCTTCCCCTACCGCACACCTTCCCTCCCCCCGCCACCGCACTTCCTTGTGCGAGGTGCCCCCCCGGTAGACCCCCTCCCCCCTCAGGGTCCTGCCCCTTCAGGTGTGTCCCAGGTAGATGCAGTCGAGCCGGTCGAGGTTGCTGGTGACTCTGGTACTGCTGCGGGTGCTGAGCCTGGGGTGCTAAGTCTGGGGCTACTGAGCCTGGGGGTGCGGAGCCCGCGGCCGCTGGACCTACTCGTGTGGCGTCTGACGGTGCTGGGCCTGGTGGTTCTCCGGGTGCTTCGTCTCGGCGGGAGCCACTCTCTCCACAGGAGCTGCGCGAGTGGTTTGCCCGGCGCTGGAGGCGTACTACTGGAGCTGGTGCTTCTTCGGCTGCTGAGGGTGTTGGTGCCACCGGTCTCGGAGGTGCTAGTCCTGCGAGTGCTACAGGAGTCCGAGCTGCTGAGGGTGTTGGCGCTGAGGCTACTGCTGTCAGTCCTGGCGGCGGTCTTGCTGCGGGTGCTGCTGGTGCTGCTGGAGGTACTGGAGCTGGAGGTGCTGTTGACGCTGGTGCTGCCGCTGGGGGTGCTGGTGCTGTCCTTGCTGTGTCTGGAGTCGCCGCACGGCCTCGGCCGTACTTTGTTCCGCTCCTTCAGCAGGTTCTTGGTCTTCCTCCTCCCTTAGAGTGTCCACCGCCTGTCCAGTCGCAGTCACAGTTACCGTCGGCCTCCCCACTGCCTTCTCGTTCTCCGTACCCTGGTCCTACTGGAGGTCTTGCTGAGCGTCGTGAGCCTGCGTCTCGTCCTGCGTCGCCTGTTCGTGCTGCTCGCACTAGTGGTCGCAGTTCGCGTCAGCGTCCTCCTCCTCTCCCTGGCACGCACCGGATGTCTCTGCGTCCGTCCACTTCTCCTCTGCGTGCCCCTTTGCCCTCTCCTCCTGAGTCCTCTCTTCCTGCGCTTGCTGACCCTGAGTCGGACCCTCTTCGTGCTACCAGTCCTACTGTCACGCGTCTCCTTGCTACTGTCGTCACTGACCCCTCCTTTGAGTCTACTGCTGTGTCTGCTCTTGTTGCTGAGCTCGTCGACTTTGCTGCTCGCTGTCGTCTAGACTACGCTGCTAGTCTTGTTGTTGAGTCTGCGTCTGTCTGTCCTCCGTCCGTCGGGGGTGAGTGTGCTCTTGGCACGGACGTCCTTGAGGACACGCAGGAGGAGTTCCAGTGTCTGGCTGCTGCTTCACCTCATCTCGCGTCCGTACTGCTTACCCCTGAGGGAGACCCGGATGCACTAGACATCCCGACTCCGCGCTCTTACGCGGAGGCCGTAGATGGTCCCTACTCCTCTCAGTGGCAGGCAGCTATGGATGCAGAGATGGCTTCCTGGAAGTCCACAGGCACCTACGTTGACGCGGTTCCCCCTCCTGGGGCGAACATCGTCAGTGGCATGTGGATCTTCAGGGTGAAGCGGCCGCCGGGCTCTCCACCTGTCTTCAAGGTGCGGTACGTGGCTCTGATACCATGAGAAAGTTAGAACGAGAATGAATGACAAGGAATGGAAGTGATACAAATATGCAACCCTAGAAATGTGTACCCCATTTAGGCTACCCCACTATAGCCTACACAATATTATAATTTGATAGAGTAGTCATCTTCGGGGTGGGGGAGAAGGTCTGGAAGAAGTCTACTCCCTCTCGCTGACTGAAGCCTCGAGCAACGTAACGAGCCTTGAAGACAGGCGGAGAACGTGGCGGCCGCTTCACCCTGAATTTCCACATGCCACTGACGATGTTCGCCTCAGGAGGGGGGAACCTCGTCGACGTAAGTGCCAGTGGACTTCCAGGATGCCATCTCTGCGTCCATGGCTGACTGCCTCTGAGAGGAGTACTCACTCGCGATCGCCTCAGCGTAAGAGCGCGGGGTCGGGATGTCTGGTGCATCCGGGTCTGCCTCAGGTGCAATCAGCATGGACATGAGATGAGGTACAGCAGCGGCAAAGCACTCAAACTCCTCGTGCTTGTCCTCAAGGACGTCCGTGCCAAGAGCACATTCACCCCCGACGGACAGAGGGCATACAGACTCAGCAACAAGACTCGCAGCGTAGTCTAGACGACAGTGAGCAGCAAAGTCGACAAGCTCAGCAACTAAGGCAGACGCAGCAGCTGACTCGAAGGAAGGGTCAGTGACAGCAGTGGCCAGGAGGCGCGTGACAGTAGGACTAGCAGCACGAAGAGAGTCAGACCCCGGGTCAGCAAGGGCAAGAAGAGAGGACGCAGGAGGAGAAGGCAGAGGAATACGCTGTGGAGCAGTGGAGAGACGATGCGTCATCTGGTGAGTGCCTGGGACAGGAGGAGGACACTGACGCGGGACACGACGACCAGTGCGAGTAGCACAAACATGTGGCGTAGAACGAGACTCAGGCGACGCAGGACGAGACTCAGGCTCACGACGCTACGTAAGACCTCCTGTCGGACCAGTGTAGGGAGAAGGACTAGGAAGTGGCGAGGCAGGCTGTAATTGTGACTGCAACTAGACAGGCGGAGGACACTCTAAGGAGGAAGCAGGACAAGGAGGAGGCGGGTGACCAAGAACCTGCTGAAGGTGCGGAACGAAGTACGGCCGCGGTCGGGAAGCGCCTGCAGAACCAGTAGAGATAGCACTAGAACCCCCAGCAGCAGCTCCAACTCCCGTAGCACCACCAGCAGCTCCCGCCGCACCGTCGGCACCAGCACCTGTAGGAGGACGAGCGTCAGCACCTCCAGCTCTAGTCCCTGCAGCACCAACCCCAGGGTCAGCAGCTACAACAACTCCAGTAGGCCCAGCGGCCTCAGCTCCACCGGCAGCTCCAGCAGCTCCAGCACCTCCAGCTCCAACTCCAGCACCAGCAGCACCTCCAGCAGCTCCAGCACCAGCAGTACCTCCAGCAGCTCCAGCACCGGCAGCACCTCCAGTAGCACCAGCTCCAGCGGCTCCAGCTCCACCTCCAGCAGAACCCCCAGTCCCAGCAGCTCCATTACCGCTTGTACGAGCACCTCCATGACCGGAGGCTCCAGTACCTCCAGCAGCACCAGGGCCTCCAGCGGGCGGCACCCCAGTGCTAGGAGCGCCGCTCCGGAGGCTGCAGCGTCGAGCGTACCACTCACGCAGCCGCTGTGGGGAGGGAGGCTCCGGCCGCGACACAGCACCCGCAGTACCACCAGCTCCAACTCCGGCAGAACCCCCAGCTCCAGGAGCCCCACGCTGGAGGCTGCAACGCTGAGAGTACCGCTCACGCAGCTGCTGTGAAGAGGGAGCGCCATCAGGCGCAGCACAGTCAGTCTCAGCTCCCCCAGGCTCAGCACTGCCAGTCTCAGCACCCCCAGGCTCAGCACCCCCAGTCTCAGCACCCCTAGGCTCAGTACCCCCAGTCTTAGCACCCCCAGTCTCAGCACCCCCAGTCTCAGCACCCCCAGACGCAGTACCTCGCGCAGGACCAGAGTCGACAGCTACCTCGACAGGCTCGACCGGGTTTACCTGGGAAAAACTTGAGGGCACAGGACCCTGGGGAGGTAGGGGGTCTACCGAAGCAGCACCTGGCGTGAGGAAGAGAGGCGGAGGGGGGAGTGGGGCAGTGCGGTAGGGGAACAGACGGTAAAAGGGTACCGACTCGTCAAAAGTGACGTCCTGAGAGGGGAAGACACGGCGCGAGGTGGGGTGGTAAAACTGCCAGCCAGGCGCGTCAGGGACAAAGCCAAGGAAGACACAGGGAACGGCATAGGAGGAGAGCTTGTCTGCAGACGTATCGCGGACAAAGGCTCGACATCCCCAGACCCGGAACACCGACGCATCGCCAACCTTCCCCGTCCAACGCAGTGTGGGCGAGGTCTCCGGAGCAGAGACACGGAGCCAGAGGTTAAACTGATGTGCAGCGTACTGCACTGCAAACGGCCACAGGAAATGGGGGGCAGCCGCATGGATCATGGAGGTACGAACGACCTCCATGACTAAGCCAATGCGGCGGTCAGCAACCCCATTCTGCTGTGGAGAGGCCGGAAGCGTGAACGTCTGGCGGATGCCGTGCTCCGCACAGTAGGCTGCCAAGAGGTCGGAGGAAAAATCACCACCCCTGTCAGAGTGCAGACGCAGGACAGGAAAGTCCAACTGAAACCGCTCGCGGAGCTGGAGACGAGCAGCGCGGATTCAAGGGATCAAAACATTAGGGACCTCAGCCTTGGTGCGCAAGGGGAAGACCGTGGTGTAGCGCGTGTAGTCGTCGATGACCAGCAGGAAGTACCGCTCGTGGCCCTGTCCACGGACGCGGGCTGGGCCCCACACGTCTAGGTGGAGAGTCTGCAGGGGAGCCTCTGTGCGAGGGAACGAGGAGGAGTGAGGAGTGGCGCGCTGCCGCCCCTCGATACAGGGAAGACAGGGAGGAGCAGGCGAGGGTGGGAGGGGAGGGAGAACCCTGGGAAGACCAAAGACAAGGTACCGGGAGTGCATACCACGAAGGCGCTGCACGGAGGGGTGACCAAGGCGGTGGTGCCAGAGGACAGTCCGGTGCGACAGGGTGCAACACGAGCAGGGGGCGGACAACTGACCTGACGCAGAAGCAAACGCCGCTACCTGAGGGGACGCAGTGGTCAGTGTGTACAAGTCCGACCCCGGCTGCCGAGTGAAGGTAGCCAAGTGACGACCCGTCTGGGCACACGTGCAGTGTGTCACACGCTCGTAGGCAGGGGTGAACTGGTGAACACCCGCGTCCTGGAGCGCAGAATCCACAACCAAGTTCGTAGAGAATGAGGGGAGGTAAAGGCCCGACAGGGTGCCGGACGGGACAGCAGGACAAGGGAGGGCAGTGGTGGAGGTCGCAAGGACCGGACCCCCGGAGGGGTCAGCCAGGGAGATAGCAACCGGTCTAGGGAGCTGCTCTAGGGCAGTGCGGTCGCGAAAGAAACAGCTGGAAGCACCTGAGTCCAGTGTGAAGGTGTGCAGTGCCTCAGTAGACGTAGTACCTGAAAGCGCAGACTCACAAGCACCTGAAGCAGCAGACTCACGAGCGCCTAGAGTAGCAGCCTCACCAGCACCTGGAGCAGCAGACTGGATACCGGGGTCTGGCGGCACACACAGGTGACAGACTCCCTCGGCACTAGTAGACAATGTATACATTGCAGTGAGAATAGCATCATAGTCCAGAGAAAAGATATCTACCCTCTTCCTAAGCAGCTCCACCCAGTCGGGGAGCTCAGCGTCGTCGCCAAACTTTGTACGCCAAGCGTCGCTCAGACGGGCGAAGTAGTGAGACTCTGTGTGACCACGCGTCCCGCAAGGCTGACCAGTCCGGACACCCGTGCGAATAACGTACATGCAGCGAGCAGTGCGCAGCGACCCTCTACTCTGAGCGTACCACTCACGAAGCTGCTGGGGCGAACGAGTCTCGCGCAGACAACGCTGCTGCGGCACTGGGCCACTACAAGAAACTCCCAAAGTACGCACTCCAGGACGATTCCCACTACTGCCACCCCGACAACCCCAACTGGCGTACCACTCACGAAGCTGCTGGGGCGTGAGGGACACACGCGGACGGCCCTAGAGCTGCATCTGGCCACGCCAGGAGCAGCAGTAGAAGCAGTAGCAGCAGGAGCAGCAGTGGCAGTAGCAGCAGCAGTAACAGCAGTAGCAGTACGGGTAGGGACATGCTCACCAGTGGTGTGAAGGGCAGGCGCACCACGGAGGCGACTGCGGGGCTGCTACAGCGGCAGGGCGGGGCCGCGTCTGCGGCAGGGAGCTCCGCAGCAGTTGCCGTAGGACGGGACCGGGCCGCGACGGCAGCTGCTGCAGGGGCGGCTGCTCCGGGGGCCAGGGGCGGCTGCTCAAGGGATGGCTGCTCCAGGGGCCAGGGGCGGCTGTTGCAGGGACGGCTGCTCCAGGGACCAGGCGCGGGGTAGGGGCGACGCGGCGGGCAGGGCGGGCGCGGGGTACTGCAGGGCGACTCGGCGGGCAAGGGCGACGTCGCGCGGGCCCCGCAAGGGCGTCGCGACGAGCGGGGGCGACGCCCGGGTTCCGCTGGGGCGGCGCGACGCGCAGGAGCCACGCCTCGCGGGTCCTGCAGGGGCGTCGCGAAGAGGCAGGGGCGACGCGCGGGTCCCGCAGGGGCGTTGCGACAAGGCGGGGGGGGACGTGCGGGTCCCACAAGGGCGTCGCGAAGAGGCAAGGGGCGACGCGCGGGGCCCGCAAGGGCGTCGCGAAGAGGTAGGGGCGACGCGTGGGTCCCGGCGGGCTGCCGCCGCCGGCGTGCAGCAGCCGCGGCGCGCGGGGTACAGCCTGCGCGCGAGCGTCGGCCTACGGGCGACAGCGGCCTACGGGCGACGTACGAGCGGCCTACGGGCTGCGTAAGGGCGGCCTACGGGCAGCGTACGGGCGGCCAGCAGCCTACGGGTGGCGGCCTACGTGCAGGCAGGTCGCGGGCGGCTCGAGGGGCCGCGTGAGGCCGGTACGAACTGCGTGGGCGACTAGCAAACTGCGCGCGGGCGTCGATCAGGTGGCGCGCTGGTGGCTAGCGGGCCACGCACGCACGGGCAAAGGACGGCGCGCGGGCAGAACGAAGGGCGGGGCGCTCGAGGGCGCACTAGTAGAAAGAAGGCGCACGAGGGCGCACGAGCAGAGAAAGGCGCACGAGGGCGCACGTAAGGTAGGGCGCACGAGGGCGCTTCTGGTGGAATAGTGGGCCCGTAGTAATAAGCAGTCCTAGGTGGCTAACCTAGGCTCGTGATACCATGTCAGAATGAACAAGACTGATTGAACTAGGAAAGAGTTGGGTACAAGTAGGAAACCCTAAACTTACTGTACCCCATAGTAACTACCCCACTACAGCCTAAACAAACTGTAGCAGATATAACATTTGACATTCTCTGCCCTGAGAAATATTCTCTGTTCACCACCCGTCCTGCGCATCGCCGACCCACACCGCCCATTCGAAGTAGTTACAGACGCAAGCGACATCGCCATCGGAGCAGTACCCATCGCATACGAGTCACGAAAACTGCATCCGCCCGAGAAAAATTACCCGATACACGACCGCGAAATGCTTACGATCGTGCACGCATTCAAAGTGTGCCGCTGTTACTTGACCGGCGCAGACGTGACAGTACGGACAGACCATAAATCCCTATAGTACCTCCGCGCACAGCCACACCTAAACCCACGACAGATTCGCTGGCGCGATTTCCTCGAGTCAAACTTCCACTATAGTTACCTACAAAAAAGGGGCATCGAACATCGCCGACGCACTGACCCGCCCCACTGCCGAGCTCCACGCAATACTACTCGCCTAGACCAGCCCACTACTGACAGGCCTATTTACCCACGGGTACCAAACGGATCCATTCTTCACAGGAGGAAATTCGCAGCAGTTCGCAGCAGCAAGGGGAATCTACTACGTAAAAATCGGGACCGACCGCATCTGGGTACCAGGGTATACACTGCTACGGGAATTATTGTTAAAGGAAGCACACGACGGTGTTACCTCGGGGCATTCCGGGGTAGAAAAAACACAGCAGCAGCTGCAGCGGTATTATTACTGGCCCGAAATGTTGACCAACGTTCAACGACACGTGGCATCATGTCCCACTTGCCAGATCATGAAGTCATCACGGAAGCGGGCGGCATGACAGTTGCAACCGATACCACCCCCAGAGCGTGCTTTGAGAAGAGACGAGAATGAATGACTAAGGAACGAAAGTGATACAAGTATACAACCCTAAAATTGTGTACCCCATATAGGCTACCCCACTACAGCCGACACAACGTTATAATTTGACACACCCCCATAGGCAAAGTGGGGGAGAACAAGGGGTCACAAGACAAGTCAAGCAAAGCAAAGCAAGCTCAGGGTGGATCACAAAGTCACCACACATTCCGAGCACAAGTTCAAGGCCACAAGGCCAGTTCACATGCAGGAGTACATATATATATAAAAGGCTACACAAGCAAGAGCAGGTGTATATATATGAAACAGTACAAGCAAGGTCAAGAGGTGAGCAAGTGAGGCAAGACAGGCACAAGACCAAGCTGAGTACAGAAGTGCTGATGATCACAAGGCGCAAGTGCCTTGGTGAAGATATCAGCAGTGTTGGCCTCAGAGGCCACGTACGCAAGACACAGCTGACCACGCTGCTGCAGCTCACGAGCAAGGAAGTAGCAAAGAGCAATGTGCTTCGTTCTGTGCTCCAGTCTCTGCTCTCGACACAAGGCCAGCATGGCCTTGTTTTTTACGTACAGCACTGGAGGAGAACGAGTCAGACAGCAGGTAGGTGAGCCAGCGAAGCTGCTGTGCAGCCATGGCCCCGGCGTAGATCTCAGCCTCACAACTGGAGCCGAGAACAAAAGACGAGCGGGTAGCCCGCCACGAAACAGAGCCGGAACCAAGGCTGAAGGTGTAACCCTGTGACGACCGCTGCGTAGCCTGGTCGTCAGCCCAAGAAGCGTCTGCGTGCCCAGTGAGGACCACTGGACTCCGCCCTCCAAGCACAAGCCCCATGCCCGACGTACTGCACAAGAAGCCCAACACCCTCTTCGCTGCAGTCATGTGCTCTAGTCTGTGTCTCCTAGGAGCAACATAGCGTGCGAGAATGCTAAGAGGGTATGCAAGGTCAGGTCGAGTGCAGGTCATCAGGTACATGAGGCAGCCAACAAGCTCTCGGTACGGGCCACTCGACTCTACGGACTCATCCGAAGGCAGAGCTGAGAGCGAGTGGCGAGTAGGCAGAGGAGTGGCCTGAGGCGAGGAGTACGTGAAGCCGAAGCGCTGAAGGACCTCCTGCACCATGTGTGACTGAGTCAAGGTAATGGTGCGGCGTGCTCTGTCCCGGGTGATCTGCAAGCCAAGGTAGCTGCGCAGTTCACCCAGGTCTGTGTACGTGTGTCTCTTCTGCAGCTCGGACTTCACGTGAGCGAGTCCAGCAGTGTCAGCTGTGGCAAAGACCAAGTCGTCGACGTACACGAGGATGTAGAACGGCGGCAAAGAAGTGTCGGTGCGTAGAAACAGCGACGGTTCGGCAGTAGAGGGAGCAAACCCAAGAGCCGCAAGCGTAGTCCTCAGTGTGTCGTGCCACTTGCGCGGTGCCTGGCGGAGATCGTAGACTGGCCGCCGGAGGCTCCACTGGGTGCCAGGAGGAAAAGTCCTAGTGAAGCCAGGTGGGCGGCGCAGCCAGATCTCCTCGTGCAGGCTGCCCTGCAAGAAAGCAGTTATGAAGTCAAGAGAGTGAAGCTCGTAGTCGCGCTGAGCGGCTATGTGCAGCAGTACCCAAAGAGTGGTCATCTACGGGGTGGGAGAGAAGGTCTGAAAGTAGTCAACTCCCTGCCGCTGACTGAAGCCACGAGCCACGTACCGCGCCTTGAAGACAGGCGGGGAACCCGGCAGCCGCTTCACCCCGGAAATCCACATGCCACTGACGATGTTCACCCCGGGAGGAGGAGCAGCGTCAACGTAGATGCTTGTGGACTTCCAAGAAGCCATCTCTGCGTCCATAGCTGCCTGTCACTGAGAGGAGTAGGGACCCTCTATCGCCTCCGCGTAAGAGCGCGGAGTCGGGATGTCAAGTGCATCCGGGTCTCCCTTAGGGGTAAGCAGTACGGACACGAGATGAGGTGAAGCAGCGGCCAAGCACTGGAACTCCTCCTGTCTGTCCTCAAGGACGTCCGTGCCAAGGGCACACGCACCCCCGACGGACGGAGGACAGACAGACTCAGACTCAACGACAAGACTAGCAACGTAGTCGAGACAACAGCGAGCAGCAAAGTCGACAAGCTCAGCAACTAGGGCAGACGCAGCAGTGGATTCAAAAGAAGGGTCAGTGACGACAGTAGCAAGGAGACGCGTGACAGTAGGACTGGCAGCACGAAGAGAGTCCGACTCAGGGTCGGCAACAGCAGGAAGAGAAGACTCAGGAGGAGAAGGTGAAGGGGCACGCAGAGGAGCAGTGGACGTAGGCAGAGACATCCGGTGCGTGCCAGGGACAAGAGGAGGATGGTGACGCGAACCGTGACCACTAATGCGAGTAGCACGGACAGGCGACGCAGGGCGAGACGCAGGCTCAAGACGCTCAGCAAGACCTCCAGTAGGACTAGTGTAGGGAGACGGAGCAGGCAGTGGGGAGGTTGGCTGGAACTGTAGCTGTGACGGGTCAGGCAGTGGACACTCTAAGGGAGGAGGAGGACCATTAGAAGCCGGGAGACCAAGAACTTGCTGAAGGAGCGGAACGAAGTACGGCCGAGGCCGCCCGGCGACTCCAGACACAGCAGGGACAGAACCAATACTCCCAACGGTAGCACCAGCGCTAGCAGCACCTCCAGCTCCAACACCAGCA